CCCCCCGTCCCTTCCTCCTCCGTACCCCAGGAGTCCATCCTGGATCCCCCTATGCACACAGCTCAGAATAGGTGGAACTAGCATTGTTGTGACGAAGACTCTTTTTGCAAAAAATTAGAGACCAGGAGGGATCCGGACTTGTCATTTTCATTTTTCTTCGGTTTCTTCAAATCGCGGGGTGTCATCCATTACATTGTCGGCCATTTCCACACAACAGTTAGGGGCACTTATATTTCTTTGTTTGCCGCTCTGTCCGTTTGATGCTACTTGCTGCTGCGTAGACTTCAGTTTTTGCTGGCTTTTCGCGGGACTTCCACGACATTTGTAGCTATGTTTAACATTTTCATGCCTCGCGGTGATATGAACGACCCTGATTTCTTGACGAATTATGACTTTAAAGCGCCAAAAACTGGCGCCTTGAAATCGCCTTGATTCGACATTTTCAGTGTTCTAAAAATTCAGATCTATAAGGTTGTGCTGCAAGCAGACCGAACGGCAGCTGTGGATTTATCAACAAAACCAAATCATCTGGAGCTCTTTTACAGTGTTCAGTGGATGAAAACTGAGTGAGTTTTTTTTGTGATAAAACTTGATAATTGAAACTTGCTACTGCTCTAACACTGATTTTTCCAATGTTGTAGCCAACAACCATGCCACTGACTTCGATGTTAGTCTCTCCGCATCTACACAAGTCTGAATTAGTGAATTGCTAAGTTTTTGTGGTGGTTTCTTGAAAAAGGCTCTTTTTCCGTGAGTTTTTTTATTTTTTTTTTTTTGAAATTTTTTGTTCATAGAGGTAACGGGCATAACATAGCACTAAAGATTAACGGGTTTGATTCCACGTGTGGGAATCTTGAGTTTTTTTTTTTTAAAAAAACTTCATCGTTTTGATCGTCTTGACGTATGTTAGGGAATCAAACTTGCCAACAAATTGCTTTTACGGTGCAGCCCTGGGAAGAGAGCGCCACTGACTGCGTTGCCCGACGAGTGGTCGCTGTTGGCAGGTTTTGTCCCCTGGCCTACTGCTGAATGCCTTTATCTCTCACAATGAATTTTTTTCCGCTTTTTTTCTTCCAGGATGCAGTAAATACTAAATGACTTTTTTTAAATTAAGTCTGGGGTTGGTCCAGTTCCAAAATACAGGCAGTCGATGCGGGTATCCCATGTCATTGATTTTACTAGAATGCCCGTGCAAGCCGGACCTGTCGTAGCCGGAGTCTTTTTTCGAAAATGGTTATGAACCGAAAAGGAATCGAGCCACTTCTTTTCACATCGGCACAGCTACGTGTTACCCACTACACCATCCGCCTTTCTTCTCCGGGATCAGTCTGACAGTGTGGTGGAAGTGCCTTTCTTTTTTTGGCTCTATCCCGTAGACAGTATATATCTTTTCCTTTGTGGCAGTTTCTTCTTTACCGGCTTTTCGCGGATTTTCCACGGCAAGACGCGTCAGTACCATGCTTTTCGATTCTGTACTGTGAACTTGTTAATATCTACCACTTGTGTGATGTATGTACGCAGTCTCTTTGAAAATCTCCCAAATTTTTGTTTACTTCTTGGCGGGGACATTCACGGGACTATTTGAAAAAGAAAAAAATTTTGCAGCACTTTCGAGCGGCAGAATGCTGGAGATGAGGAATTTTTTGCTGCGCAAGCCAAACATGTACAGTGGGCAGCAATAGTGAATTCATCATTGCTTGTTTTCTTTCTCGTCTCACTTGTCGTCTTCATTTTACGCTCTGTGGTTTGTTTCGATTTTTTTACTAGAACTGAAAATAATAATGTTCCATACTTATCTTTCTTCAACGATGATAATTACAATGATAGTGATCTGATTATCACTGTAAGTATCATCATTATCCATATAGACTAGTAGCTATAAAATCATGAGAGCAGATTTCTTTTTTCATTTTGTTAAAAACGCTGAAAAAAACACTTTTTTTTGATTAAAATTCCTCGTTTTTGATTTTCCAAAAAATTTTTGCGAACTTTTTAACAGTCCTTTCACGAAAATGTGATGCATTTGGGTCTTTTTCTTTTCATGCTGTTGGAGGTTTTTTTGCATCCAGAAGCACAGAAGACATAAGTTTTTTTTTGCAATTTAAAGGTAAAACGCGATTTGAGCCGTTATAACGATAGTGCATACGGCGATAATTTTGGAATTGAAGATGGTTGGAAGACAGTTTCAATGGATGTTTTTCGGCTTCCAAAATGCTCGAACCTATTTGCTGCAATAATTGGTCCGCCGTTTGGCTTTTATGAAGTTCATCATACTATTCAGTTGTTTGAAAAATTTGCATATTATTGTTTCTGGCTGTTCAAAAATTTGCATTTTTGTAGTGTTCCTGATGCAGTTTTCTATGTTCAGAGTGTTTGAACCAGTTTCTTTGCTTACCGGACCGATTACCTCAGGACCATATTGGAAGATAATGTTGTAAAACAGAAATGGGAATTTTGAAAGCTTTTTGGCTAATTTGAACTCGGTGATATACAGTTAGATTTAGCAAGAGACAATGGTGCCGAAGCTTCATGCCGGTCGGTCAGATACTATAGAAGAAATATTGTTTGCTGTAATGATATTCACACTGATACGTTTCCCTTTTTGTGCTGGGAATAGTAAGGTGAACATTTCAATCCAAAGTCCGATTTCCCGTCTATGCAGCTGGCAACTTTTCCATTTGCTTTGACCGATGTAACATCTCTTGCTAATCAACATACTGACGTTCCTCACCCACTTTCCTTTCCTGAAAATTTGGTAGAGAAAATTATTATCTCGGAAACCGCAAAAGTACCGTTCACCCTGGTCCGCGCCGCTGTTTATTAATACTTCTCCAGAAAAAGTACTTTTTATGCATTTTGCACTGTGTAGCGGCGACACAAAATGTATATTTTCATATCCTTATCTATGTGTATGTGTGTATCCGAGTGCATTTTTGTCCCGCACTTTCAATCTAGCAACAGCAGAAGCTAGGAAGCTGGAATTTTACCACACTGTTCCCGCCTGCGTGACACCCTGCAAATTTAAAACCAGCCTTCTCATACGCGGGGTATCACGTGCAGCCCCGTAAAAATTTCGGCAGGGAAAATTATTATCTCGGGAACCGCGAAAGCACCATTCACCCTGGTCCGCGCCGCTATTAATACCTTAGCTTTTTCGATATGTCATTGGTATATGTTGAGCATCTCCTCCTCTAGAATTTTGTTACTTCTAGAACATGATGGGAGGAGGGACATTTACTGGATAGGGGACTATATTTGCTTAAATACCACTACAGCGTAACTTAGACATTGTTCCATCGTAGCGATCCTTATTTTCGTATTTTCCTTGCGCAGGTTATTTGTGTGTTTTCTTGTATTCGCAGGACTTGTGTTGCAGGTGTTGGCTCCCAATTTCTCTTTCTTATTACACTGGTGTTGATTGTTGGTTCAACAAGCTTAATAAGTACACGGAATCATGAAACTCTAAATAGTGTTGCCGTGCTACTTTATGCAGTTACATCAGGTAAGCGTATTCTTAAAAAATCCCGAAGCCTTGTTAGCTGAACTCTATTAAGTTATGGTAGGAAAAAACTGTGGAATTTTGAGACTTTTCAAAAAACTAAGCAGTAAATTCTTGGAATCTTGTGGCCATATTAATAATTTTTGAAATATTATCAATAAAATCAGCAAAATTGTGGGAAATCCTTTTAAATAAGCATTTGTAATTCTCAGCTGCTTGAAATTATTTCTCGATTTTTGGATTTCCGTTAGTTTACCTGTAATATTCCTGGGACTGGTGGATTTCTGTTGCCAATAGCTTTGAAAATTAGAGCTTTTGTTAAATCACTTAAAAAAATGAACATTCTCCAACATACATGTTTTGGATACTTGAACCAAATGCAGTTCATGTTTTGGCTGTCCAACTCTGCATCTGGTAATTTTTTCAGTTGCTTTGACCACGAATGCATTATCTGGTCGAACTGTTACCTTATTCATGAAAATTTCAAATCGGACTAATCCTTTTTTTTTTGCCCCAAATTTCTCAAAATCCATGGATCGCTGCTAAAATCAAGCTTCTACTTCAGTATTCATTTTCAGGGATAGCGGGTTTTGTCTCAGCCTATCTTTATCGCCAATTCGATGGCGGTAATTGGATAACAAATGTTAATCTGACCACCTGCCTATTCACGCTGCCGATGATTCTTATCTGGATTATGAATAATTCGATTTCCTGGGCATATGGTTCCACCCAGGCATTGCCTTACACCACAGTTGTTGTGATCGCCCTACTTTGGCTTTGCATTGGTTATCCTTTAACGGTTGTTGGCGCTTCGATTGGTCGAAATTTCGCCACCTCCTACAGTGCTCCGTGTCGTACACGTAACATCCCACGGCAGCTCCCTCAGTTGCCATTCCATAAAAGCGATTTCGCCATAATGTTTGCTGGTGGTTTTCTTCCATTCAGGTATTTTATATTTGGATCCATTCGTTACAGTTTTCTAGTGATTTTGTACAGAAATGAATCCTGTTGCTCATAGATATTTGAGAATCAAAGAAAGTTAGTTTTTTATTGACATTTTTTAAGTAATTGTCTGAGTGGATCGAAATATTTTTTTTTGAAAACTCAAGTCAGTCTTAGTTTATAATCATGGTTCTCCAGCCTTTTGGCTGGCAAGTTCTCCTGTTGCTTTGGCCAGCGGTGCATCGCCTGATAATTAACTTACTGGCAGTGTTGGATTCCATTTCGGCATTTCTTCCGACAAAAATTCTTAACATCGCAGTTTCAAGCTCTCCTAGATGTATGGTAAACATCTAAACTATCATGAATGAAGCTTCTTTTGCAAAAAGCTAAAGGAGTCAGGGAGGAATCGAACCACTGCCTTAACAGTCGAGCACGCCGTGCTTAACCACTGCACCACCAGAGTTGTACCACGGGAGCAGACGGAGCACATCCGTTTGCTTTTAAGGCAGTATACACCTTTCTTTTCTTGTCTGCTTCTTTCGAGGCAGCATACTCTCTTTATGGGAGCTTTTTTTTCACCAAACTTTCGCGGCATGCTCATCCCAGAAGTTGCCTTTCTTAGACGTGTAACTTATCGTTTAGGACCACACTGAGTACAAAATTCATAATTTTTAGTGCAATGTCAATGGAGTTTTATTACATATTTTCGACAATATGGGGTCGAGAAACTTATACAATTCACTATCTTCTACTGGTCGTCCTGCTTATTACCGTAATTGTGGTTGCAACTACCTCAGTTGCACTTATTTATATGAAACTGAGTGCTGAGGATTATCGTTGGTGGTGGACATCAGTACTTGTTGGAGGGTGCGTTTTTTTTGTACTTTTCAAAAAAAAGCCATAAAAATTTTTGTTGCACTTATGTATCTGTTATTGGCTGATCCTGAGAATGGCATTCTCATTTCCGTCATTACTCTAAAATTGTTTTTTT